TTTTTTTTTTTGATAAAATTAATTTGTATAAAGTGAAGTAAAATGAAGTGCCGAAGCCGTCGTACAGTCTCCTAAGCAGTGATAGCAAACAGCCGGAGAAATTTCAGTTTAGCCGGAAGCCGATTTGTTAGCCGTTTTGTAAAAAAATTAGCCGTTTTTAGCCGATTTTGATATTTACCTAGTTTTCTTAAAGTTCAAATATATATGTATGTTGATTAAGCGATCCAAAATCTGTTAGAAATGGCTACTAGCGTTATCGCGGAGGCAGGGTCATATAAAATTGGGCCGATTTCGCTTATTTTTATCTTAAACGAATATTTTTTTTCTAAAGAAGGCCGTAACGGGGATTTTCTTCATAAAATGTTTGTTATCAATGACTTAAATTTAAGTGTGAAGTTTTATTCGCAAACTTAGAAAATAACAAATAGTTTCACTGTTTGCTTAACACGCGTTTGTGTTTGGATATAGTGCCAAGAATAAATGTTACAGGTATTGTCTTCCCAGATAGCGCATATTCAATTCTGCCTTAATTGCAAAACATCATTGTTGCCCACGCTTAAAGTTTAAGGTAAGTGAAAAATGGATATTTTCAAGCACTATGTACACATATGGATTTATTTAAACTAACATTTTCCTGAGAACTTATTTAAATTCCAAAAACCGAAGGCCAACTTGAATTAAAAGAACCAACATTGAAATGTGTAAAAATTAAAGTAAAAGAGCACAAATTTCTATGTAAAGCAAACCTCTCTAGGAAGACAATAGGTTTGTTCATCGAAAATCCAGCGAAAATTATCACTCAAAGTTAGTAAGAAAAAATGCTCCCGAATTCTCTCTCAAGTAGAGAAACTTGCAAATTTCTGCACGAACGCAAATTTGCAGGAACTTGCAAGTTTCTCTGCCAGCTAGTGTCCACGGTTGCATTTAAAACATAAGAAATTTGTATGGAATTTTAAAATTCTTTCAGAGGGACAAAAACAGGATCTACATGTATATTTCTTGCTAGTCCGACTTTCTTCAACATACGCTTCAATTTCTTTGCCGTACTAACTGTCGCGTTTCCTATATCGACTCTGATTGAGATTGGATTACGAGTACGTTTCAAATCATTGGAATTAACTAAATTAATTAAGTAAACAAGTCTTTACTTAAATTTTTCATTTTAAAATCGCTGAAGTTTGTAAATTTTTAAATCTGACGAACCTGTTTATTCAAATTATTGTCGACAAAAAATGCAACCATGTGCCACAATCATATGTTATTCCTAATTCCAAATACGTGCCGCCAAAATTTTTTCCAGCTTAAATTTGCAATTTCTCTCCAAGAACTAGTCTTTCTACTTATGATTTATTTAAATAAAACATGTGAAATTTAGTTGAAACAGTTTAGCCGTTTTTAGCTGGTTTTTTGCCAATTTAGCCGGTTGGTCCAGAAAGTTCTGGCAACACTGCTCCTAAGTAAAAACACTACCAGCTGATTGCCAAAAAATGCATACAGCTCAAGGGCGTAGCCGGGAAGGGGCAGCTGCCTTCTCCCTACGGCTACAGAACGAAGGAGAAATTTTCAAAAAGCAATAAATAAAAAATACAAAATTGTATCAATTTCCACATAACGCCTGCGTTTTTGATCGTTGATACAGTAAAGTAAGCACAGCGTTAAGCATTGAATTGGTACAGAATTGAATGAAACACCCATATGAGTTTCTCTTACCATTCTGTGATGAACGGGATGGAAAACCCAACGAAAAAATCACTTTCTCTTCTGTTAAATCTTGTTGTGAATGACTTGAACGAGGTTCCAGAAATAAGAAATACTATTTCTATCCTAAAAGATGTGATAAACTTTTTGCGAATCAACGACAGGCAAGAATTATGCTTCTAATATATCACGTTTGTGTGTAACAAGATGGTCGGAAAAAATATAGGACTATCAGGAAATTTTCAGAAAATTTGTCTGAAGTTGTGCAAGTATTAGAAAAGTTGTCAATTCAGGGAAACTTTTCCACAATAAAGTCTGCGTATCAATTGTCTGCTGCTATAACAATGCCGATGAAAATCCGAGACGTTTTTTATTAGCGTAAAAATTATTAAATAAAAAATATATCAAAAAAATTAACAAGTATATTTCGTTTTGCCCTTCCCTCCTTTCATCAGATCCTGGCCACGCCCTTTCTACAGCTGAGGTCACCTGTTTTTTGCATTTGCTCTTATCTTTTACAATTTCTTCCATTTCCATTACAATTTGTTAAAAAATACGCTGCCAAACACATACCTACAGCCTGCCAGAAAAAACGGTAAGAAGAAGAGTTACGTTACTTATGGAACTGTACGATGGACGAAGCTACGGCTTCCACAATTAAGTGAAAAATTCCATTGAAGTGACGGCGGCAGCACTGAGCAGTACGTCCATTGAAGCTAATCGCTCAATATAAGCGCTACTAAACATGTTTACTGAGCGAACGCAGCCTATGATCCTCCACTTGGGTACTGTTGAGAAACAACGTTGGAGATTTGACAAAGACCTTAGTTCTCACCTTAATCTCAAGTTGAGCTCTAACCTAAATGTGTGTTGGGCTGTTTGATCTGACCGTCAAGTTGCCACACGATTTGAAAGGAAAAATTGATCTCAGGTTTATGGTCAAGTTGTACAAAAGTGTGAGTGTATTGCAACTAGAAAGAAAGTTATTGATCGTGACACGTCGAAGTAGTAACTTGAATTCGTAATTTGGATTTTGAGTTATATTTTATAAAAGGTAATGATTTATAAAATTAATAGAAAAAATATATAAAATTACTTGTTGTAAAAGCAGGCGGCAATCCTCTGTGCTTTGTTTAATTATACATTCTCTGAGATTCTGATGTAGCGGATGGGATGAACTTTCGCAGGTGGCATTTGTAACAGCTAACAAACTAATTGAAGACTTGTCTAAAGATGCGCTCTCCTTACGGCTATATTCAGTTACGTTCGATAAATTATTGTCTGTGCAATATGACGGTGCCATCGGATGCTGACTTGAACTTATATTGTGCTCACTTAACCGAGACATCTTGGTAGGCACTGGTCGTCCTTTTACTAATTGGCTTATTTGCGCTTCTTTATGCTCATAACTTCTGAGTGTCGTTGAACTAAAGTTCTTACTCTTATCTTGGACTTCCGGATTATCACAATCGGTAAGGATTTTTTGCGAAAACTTTGTTGGAAAGCTACCAAATTTAACCTCATCTAAACTTGGCAGTGGTGATATTGTCTTTTCTTTAGGCGAAGTATAAGTTTCCTTGACTCGTTGTTTGTCTATTGTAGGTCTGGATTTATGTAGTAACTTTGAAGATCCATGATATCCAACGGGATTAATTGATGTAACCCTTGGCAGTGTATTATCAGTTAGGCGTTTTGAGTATTCTTGAAAATTTTTCTTACTATTAACGCGATCTTGAAGCAACAAATATATCGCTGCAACGTGATCATAGCTGTTCTTTTTTAAACTTGTTTTAGTCTTATCTGGGGGAATACCAGCAAATTCTGACATGATCCTTAGTATGTCCTCATTTGGTTCTATGCTGGACGTTCCGTCCATATTTGCATTGGATTGTATCATGCCGCCAACATCTCGGGCCTCTCCACAAACCCAGCGATGATTTTTTATTTGTTCGATTGTGTATCGCCGAGGGGGATCTAGAACTAGCATTCTGCGAATCAAATGTTCACACTCTGAAATATTTAGCCTCTTAATACATGTCAACAAACTGAATTATAATATACGAATACCCGAAGACATAAAAAAGGGGATTCTAAATCTTCCTGAAAGTACCCGATCTCTTAGGCTCTGTAAAGTAGATCCATCGAACGGCAGCGCTCCACAAACAAGTACATAAAGAACCACACCTAGGGACTGAAATGAAAATATTATAAATTTTGTAAATACATATCATCACCATCATTGCAAAGGGCCCTAATGACACTTGTTTGAAAATTCGTTTTTTCATATTCTCTCGAATGCAGGCCCTTTAAAATTCACAGCCATAACTTAATAAATGATAGACTTATTGGTATCTTTAGAACAGTCCTAAAAGCTTTTTCTGTGTTGTGACCTTTGTATTGATGGATACAAAATGTATTTTATGTTTGCATGTAGGTTAGTGCTAAAAACATTTTTTATGTACCCATATGTCGATTTCTGGTCCAGTGTACTGTTTTCCTTCAAAAACTTCAGGCGCTGCATACGGAGGGGAACCACACCAAGTTGCTAATAACTCTCCAATTTTAAAATGGTTCGAAAATCCGAAGTCCGCAATTTTTATATTCATATTAATATCAAGTAGAAGGTTTTCAGCCTATATTAAATTTTTTAACATTAATGAAAGGAATTGCGATCAAGAAGGTATTTCCTTTTTATTTTAACCTAACTCACCTTTAAATCTCTATGTACAATGTTCTTCTTGTGGCAATATTCTACCGCCGACAAAATCTGCCAAAATTTAGCTCTTGCAGAACTTTCTGACATTCTTCCAAATTTTGCTATGTAATCTAGTAATAAAAACAAGATGGTTATAAACAATTACATGCATATATGTACATACATATAAATGGGGCTTTCCATACCAAAATGGACTTCATGTGTTTGATTTGTTTCAAATTTTTAGGGCATATATCCATCAACATCTTACTAATATTATAAATGTGAAAGTTTGTATGTTTGGATGTTTGGGAAATCATCACGCGGAAACGACTGCACGGATTTGCATGAAATTTTGTACGCAGATAGCATATGGCCCAGATAGGTTAATAGGCTATTTTTTAAGAGTTGCCACCTGTTAAAAAAGTTTAATTTATTTAATATGCGGGAACGACTGAATGGATTTGCATGAAAATTCGCACACAGATAGCTTATGACCTACAGTGGAAAATAGGCTACTTTTCTTAAGAGTTCCCACCTGTTAAAAAAGCTTCATTAAATTAATACGCGGAAATGACTGAATGGATTTGCATGCAATTTTGCAAGCGGATAGCTTATGACCCACAGTAGAAAATAGGCTAATTTTTGGGAAGAGTTGCCACCTGTTAAAAAAGTTTAATTAAATTAATACCGGAAACGACTAAACGGATTTGCATGAAATTTTGCACACAGATAGATTATGACCTAGGTTAGAAAGTAGGCTACTTTTTTTAAGAGTTGCCACCTGTTTGAAAATGAAATTTTGCTCAAAGATGGTTTATGACCTGGATTGAAAAACAGGCTACTTCCTTAACCGGTTTTCCGATCAGAACGAAATTTAGTACACTTACTTCGGATTTCGGAAGGATGGTCTTAGACTGAAAGTAAGTCCGATAACTCAAGGTCCCTCCCATACAAATTGGAATTTTCATATTACATACATATCTCTGGAAGTATTTGTGGGAGAGAACTGAAACTTGGTATAGTGATATGCAGGGAACGGATTTTTAGGACCTAAAAACCTATAAAAAAGGCAAAATAAAATAGTGGAAAAGGCAGGAAAAGGCACTAGGTGTTACAAAAAAGGCAAAAAAAGGCAAAACAAAATAGCGAAAAAGGCAGAAAAAGGCACTAAAAAAAGACAGAAAATACGAAGAACAATCAAAAAAAAACATTTATTTTGGAAATGTTTATATTACAAGTAAAAAGAGAAAAACTATGAACTAGTTTCATTATATTTGTACTTTGAATCTTTGACTATTTTATCCTTTCGAGTTTCTAAATCATAAAACTTTAATCTGTATAGTTCTAGTAACATTGAACCACACGATGCATTTCGAAGTTTTCTGGCAGCATTTTCATTCGATTTTCGCGAAGAAAAGCCTTGAATGTACTAAATGTGTGCTCGACGTAAGTTGAGACAAGCGGCGCCCAATATAAACATGGAACGTTTGAAACGTTCATATTATCAGGAATAAGGGCGTTTTCCTCGCCCTTTACAATTTTATCCACACCCCTTATTGTCTCCAAGCCTTCGTTAGCTGAGAAAACGGCTTTGAATTTTTCCAACACCAATTTGGCCAGAGGTCTCTGCGCTTCTATAAGCCGCATGGGCGATGTGTATATTTTTTAATCTTAAAAAAAAATTGTAAATGCTATAATAATTTTTTTAAAGGTAGAAAAGGCAAAAAAAGGCAAATATCTTAAAAAAGGCAAAAAAAAAGGCAAATATCTTAAAAAAGGCAAAAAAAGGCAACTTCAAATGTGTATATATGGAATCAGAGAAAGCTAAATCGTGGACATTCTTAATCGAATATGCTCTATCTCGTTAGCAGAAAAAAGGCAATTTCCATCAAATCCGTTCACTGGTGATATGTATGTGAACTCAATGATGGCATTAATCGATTGATGTTTTAATCAGTTAGTTAATTCGATTAAATTCAATCTGATACAGTTAATCATGATTAATTTTAATCTGACTAAACAGTTAATCGTGACCGCGATAAAAAATTAATTTTTAATCATTAACTTTTAATTTGATGGTTTGGTGATTAATTAAGTTTCCCTGTGCACACAAAGCAAGTTAATCCGGTATGGCTAAGTCGGGTTTCCTCATCCATCTAAGCAATTTGGTGTGCTTGTTCATTAAGATATATACCAACAAATGTTTTACAAACTAGGTTTGTAAAAGTTCCCAGTTTATGTGTTACTAATAACAATATTTATATTTTTTTTATATTATGTGCTTTTTATAAGCGTAAAACACAAAATAATTACTATAACTGGTGTTTGGTTTCAAACTCGGACAAACTAGACAAATTAATCAGATTTTATTTTTAATTGGATTAACGATTAATGTTTTAAATTAATTAAACGTAATCGCAGCCAGCGATTAACGATTCAAAAAATGTTATCGTTAATCGTACAGTTGATAACGACTAATTAGTTTTAATCATCAAACGCGATTAACATTTTAATAGTTAATTTTTAATCGTTAATCAGATTAACAGTTTTCCAACACTGTGTGAAATCATGTTCATATTCACGGAGAAAAATGGACGTTTTTGGAAAAGAGGCGTAGCACCTCCCATACTGACTGAAAGTTTCATATTGCATATCCCTTCAAATGTTTGGGGTAAAATACTCAAGGTTGGTATGGAAATACATATGTATGTATGTATGTGAAACTAATACCATACTCATGGAGAAAAATGAGAGTTATTGGAAAAGGTGATGTGGCAACTCCCATGCAAATTGATTTTTCTATGCTGCATATCTCTGGAGGTGTTTATTGCAGAGGACGGGAACTTGGCACCGAGATGTGTATACAAAATTAATTCCATACTCATGGAGAAAAATTTGCGTTATTCGAAAAGGGGGCATAGTACCTCCCGTACAAATTTACTTTTATACTGCATATCTCTAGAAGTGTTCATGGTAGAGTACTGGACTTGGTACTGGGGTATGTAAAATCAATTCTAAATTCATGAAAGAAGATTAGGGTTATAAGAAAAAGGGGCGTGGCACTTTCTGTGCAAATTGACTTTTTCTTGCCACATATCCCTGGAAGTGTTTGTGGAAGAATACTGGAACTTGGTATGGAGTTGTGTATACAAAATGTTTCAATTGCTCATGGAAAAATGTGAGTTATTAAAAAAGGAGGCATGTCGCCTCCCATACATACTAAAAATTTCTTAATACATATCTCTGGAAGGATAGAAAATCTTTGGAAGTATTTTAAATTTGTTATGGAGATTTATTTTATAAGTGCCGTACTGATAGAAAAAATTTCATTTAATGGAAAAGGGAGAGCCGGGTTCGGCCTTATAATCTAAAGCTCTCTTGAGGCATTTGCTACAGTAATGAGAAGTAGTATTTTATCAAGGCCAGGTTACTAAATTTGAGTTGGAAATATTAGAACCCGCCGTGGCACCTCCAAGAAGGTTACATGTTTACGCGTCGTATACCTGGAACCATTTTAAGGTAAACTTAGAGGGATTGATATCTTTCGTATGCCTAGCGCGCAGACGATATTTTATAATTTCATAGTTTTAAACGGCCTAAATACCTTAAAAAATAACGAGCTATAACGAAATGGCACAGAAATAAAATCTAACATCATTAAATTATTTTTCATATTTGTATAAAAGGGCGGGGTGAAACCCGCGGGTATAAGCTTATACACTAAAATTAAAGCACGACAAGAACTCAATTGAAATGAGTGTAACTTGGTCGCCTGGCGGGCGACAGACAGAGAAGAGCTAGACATAAAGCTACCTAACTCAAGCAGCAAACAAAACCAGCCAGGAAGATCTGTAAACAACCGGAAAATCTAAGGAGCCCACGAAATCAAATGAAGAGTTTACGAACAGAGAACATACCGATGAGGCCAATCAGTGGAAAAAAGTGCAACGGAGAAAGGCACCAAAGCCAAAGCTCCCTCGACCCGATGCATTGATAATAAGCTGCGAAGGGAACTCGTATGCCGAGGTGCTAAAAACTGTAAACACGGAGCCACAATTGAAACATGTTGGAGAAGTCGTCACGAAGATTCGCAAGACAGCTAACGGGGATCTTCTTCTTCAGTTGACAATACCGACCGACCGTAAAACTAAGGAGATTCAACAAGCTGTTAAGAAAACGTTCGGAGAAACCTCGGAGAAGCTAGCAACAAAACAAGAGACTCGTCAGGCTCTCGAGAGTCAACTGGATGGAATTAAAATCTCGGAGGAAGCAATAAAATCCTTGGGAAAAGCCCATAATGGGACCAAAATGGGCACTCTACTGATACCGGTAAAGCTGGCGAAGGAGTTACTATCTAGAGGCAAGATTCGAGTTGGGTGGGTAATCTGTCGAGTACCTGCCAATATGCAACTCAAGCTGTGTTACAAATGCCTGGAGTTTGGCCACCTGGCCAGGAACTGCACAGTGATGCACGACGTCAAAGGTACGTGCTTTAGTTGTGAAGGCCTAGACCATAAATTCCGAGACTGCAAAAAGGAATAGAGTTGTATTACATGCTCTAAAGAAAGCGGACCGAAACAAAACATAAAACGGGTGGCAAGGAATGCCCTTTCTATAAAGAAGATATGCAAAAGTTAAAAATATGAAACTACTACAGTTAAATCTACCCCCACTATAAGGTAAAAGTATAGATATAGTGCTGCTAAGTGAGCCATATAAAGCACCAGAATCTCAACTACAAGGATAACACCGCACGATCTGCAGTATGGAGTTGTGCCAGAAAGCCGCAAGACAAATGCCAAAGGCAGAGCGCTACTCACAATATTAGCATCTCTAGATGTTGCGCTGCTAAACATCGGAGGAAAATTCACCTTCCGTAAGGATGGTATGCGGTCAATTATCAATCTAACCTTCGCGAGCACCAGCTTTATCCAGCGTGCCTCTTGGTAAGTTAGTGACGAACATACCCACAGCGACCACCAGGCGATTATCTTCTCCATAAACGAGGAGAGGAAAAGCCAACGAAATACTAGGGTTAAGGCAATAGGATGGAAGCTAAACACATTGGACGAGAGAGCGCTCTTGTTTATGGAATCCAATATTGTACTACCAGAAGGGGCTACAAATATGGCAAACCATTTAATAGCCGGCAAAACAACTGCTTTCGATGCTGCAATGAAAAGAAAATCTTCTAACCATAGGCGCTCCCCAGTGTATTGGTGGAACAAGCACATAGTAGAGCTGCGCCGCCATTACGACAAGGCGAGGAGAAACTACCAGGGAGTCAGAGTAAGTCGGCAATAGTCACCCAACAAACACTGTACAAAAGTAGCATAAGGAGCTCAAAGAAGCCATCAAAACTAGTAAAAAATGTTTTCATAGTCTATGTAACACTGTAGAGGAAGATCCTTGGGCATAGGGGTATAAGGTGGTCACAAAAAAGCTACAAGCATCAGTGCGACCACAAATATCGTGCCCCAAAAAGATTGACGAAATCGTGAAAACGCTATTTCCGGTAATACCAGCCTTTAATAGAGAATTATTTTCAAGAAGAGCCTGCATCTTCGCGGTTGTCACAGCGGAAGAGGTGATAATTGCTGCAAGCGGGTTTAATGATCGTTAATCACCAGGCCCTGACAACATTCCAAACGAAGTACTGAAATCAATATAAAAGTCCCGAAGTCTTCATCAATACCTCTAACACATGCCTTTCAGAAGGGGTGTTCCCCGATACATGGAAGCGGCAGCGATTATTCCTCCTACCAAAAGCAGGAAAACCACCGGCAGATCCTTCGGCGTACCGCCATATTTTTATGCTAGAAGCGGCGGGAATACTTCTGGGCGTATTATAAACACCAGATTAGTTAAATAAATCGTTTTTTGTTACGATTGTTTTTTTTTTTGATAAAATTAATTTGTATAAAGTGAAGTAAAATGAAGTGCCGAAGCCGTCGTACAGTCTCCTAAGCAGTGATAGCAAACAGCCGGAGAAATTTCAGTTTAGCCGGAAGCCGATTTGTTAGCCGTTTTGTAAAAAAATTAGCCGTTTTTAGCCGATTTTGATATTTACCTAGTTTTCTTAAAGTTCAAATATATATGTATGTTGATTAAGCGATCCAAAATCTGTTAGAAATGGCTACTAGCGTTATCGCGGAGGCAGGGTCATATAAAATTGGGCCGATTTCGCTTATTTTTATCTTAAACGAATATTTTTTTTCTAAAGAAGGCCGTAACGGGGATTTTCTTCATAAAATGTTTGTTATCAATGACTTAAATTTAAGTGTGAAGTTTTATTCGCAAACTTAGAAAATAACAAATAGTTTCACTGTTTGCTTAACACGCGTTTGTGTTTGGATATAGTGCCAAGAATAAATGTTACAGGTATTGTCTTCCCAGATAGCGCATATTCAATTCTGCCTTAATTGCAAAACATCATTGTTGCCCACGCTTAAAGTTTAAGGTAAGTGAAAAATGGATATTTTCAAGCACTATGTACACATATGGATTTATTTAAACTAACATTTTCCTGAGAACTTATTTAAATTCCAAAAACCGAAGGCCAACTTGAATTAAAAGAACCAACATTGAAATGTGTAAAAATTAAAGTAAAAGAGCACAAATTTCTATGTAAAGCAAACCTCTCTAGGAAGACAATAGGTTTGTTCATCGAAAATCCAGCGAAAATTATCACTCAAAGTTAGTAAGAAAAAATGCTCCCGAATTCTCTCTCAAGTAGAGAAACTTGCAAATTTCTGCACGAACGCAAATTTGCAGGAACTTGCAAGTTTCTCTGCCAGCTAGTGTCCACGGTTGCATTTAAAACATAAGAAATTTGTATGGAATTTTAAAATTCTTTCAGAGGGACAAAAACAGGATCTACATGTATATTTCTTGCTAGTCCGACTTTCTTCAACATACGCTTCAATTTCTTTGCCGTACTAACTGTCGCGTTTCCTATATCGACTCTGATTGAGATTGGATTACGAGTACGTTTCAAATCATTGGAATTAACTAAATTAATTAAGTAAACAAGTCTTTACTTAAATTTTTCATTTTAAAATCGCTGAAGTTTGTAAATTTTTAAATCTGACGAACCTGTTTATTCAAATTATTGTCGACAAAAAATGCAACCATGTGCCACAATCATATGTTATTCCTAATTCCAAATACGTGCCGCCAAAATTTTTTCCAGCTTAAATTTGCAATTTCTCTCCAAGAACTAGTCTTTCTACTTATGATTTATTTAAATAAAACATGTGAAATTTAGTTGAAACAGTTTAGCCGTTTTTAGCTGGTTTTTTGCCAATTTAGCCGGTTGGTCCAGAAAGTTCTGGCAACACTGCTCCTAAGTAAAAACACTACCAGCTGATTGCCAAAAAATGCATACAGCTCAAGGGCGTAGCCGGGAAGGGGCAGCTGCCTTCTCCCTACGGCTACAGAACGAAGGAGAAATTTTCAAAAAGCAATAAATAAAAAATACAAAATTGTATCAATTTCCACATAACGCCTGCGTTTTTGATCGTTGATACAGTAAAGTAAGCACAGCGTTAAGCATTGAATTGGTACAGAATTGAATGAAACACCCATATGAGTTTCTCTTACCATTCTGTGATGAACGGGATGGAAAACCCAACGAAAAAATCACTTTCTCTTCTGTTAAATCTTGTTGTGAATGACTTGAACGAGGTTCCAGAAATAAGAAATACTATTTCTATCCTAAAAGATGTGATAAACTTTTTGCGAATCAACGACAGGCAAGAATTATGCTTCTAATATATCACGTTTGTGTGTAACAAGATGGTCGGAAAAAATATAGGACTATCAGGAAATTTTCAGAAAATTTGTCTGAAGTTGTGCAAGTATTAGAAAAGTTGTCAATTCAGGGAAACTTTTCCACAATAAAGTCTGCGTATCAATTGTCTGCTGCTATAACAATGCCGATGAAAATCCGAGACGTTTTTTATTAGCGTAAAAATTATTAAATAAAAAATATATCAAAAAAATTAACAAGTATATTTCGTTTTGCCCTTCCCTCCTTTCATCAGATCCTGGCCACGCCCTTTCTACAGCTGAGGTCACCTGTTTTTTGCATTTGCTCTTATCTTTTACAATTTCTTCCATTTCCATTACAATTTGTTAAAAAATACGCTGCCAAACACATACCTACAGCCTGCCAGAAAAAACGGTAAGAAGAAGAGTTACGTTACTTATGGAACTGTACGATGGACGAAGCTACGGCTTCCACAATTAAGTGAAAAATTCCATTGAAGTGACGGCGGCAGCACTGAGCAGTACGTCCATTGAAGCTAATCGCTCAATATAAGCGCTACTAAACATGTTTACTGAGCGAACGCAGCCTATGATCCTCCACTTGGGTACTGTTGAGAAACAACGTTGGAGATTTGACAAAGACCTTAGTTCTCACCTTAATCTCAAGTTGAGCTCTAACCTAAATGTGTGTTGGGCTGTTTGATCTGACCGTCAAGTTGCCACACGATTTGAAAGGAAAAATTGATCTCAGGTTTATGGTCAAGTTGTACAAAAGTGTGAGTGTATTGCAACTAGAAAGAAAGTTATTGATCGTGACACGTCGAAGTAGTAACTTGAATTCGTAATTTGGATTTTGAGTTATATTTTATAAAAGGTAATGATTTATAAAATTAATAGAAAAAATATATAAAATTACTTGTTGTAAAAGCAGGCGGCAATCCTCTGTGCTTTGTTTAATTATACATTCTCTGAGATTCTGATGTAGCGGATGGGATGAACTTTCGCAGGTGGCATTTGTAACAGCTAACAAACTAATTGAAGACTTGTCTAAAGATGCGCTCTCCTTACGGCTATATTCAGTTACGTTCGATAAATTATTGTCTGTGCAATATGACGGTGCCATCGGATGCTGACTTGAACTTATATTGTGCTCACTTAACCGAGACATCTTGGTAGGCACTGGTCGTCCTTTTACTAATTGGCTTATTTGCGCTTCTTTATGCTCATAACTTCTGAGTGTCGTTGAACTAAAGTTCTTACTCTTATCTTGGACTTCCGGATTATCACAATCGGTAAGGATTTTTTGCGAAAACTTTGTTGGAAAGCTACCAAATTTAACCTCATCTAAACTTGGCAGTGGTGATATTGTCTTTTCTTTAGGCGAAGTATAAGTTTCCTTGACTCGTTGTTTGTCTATTGTAGGTCTGGATTTATGTAGTAACTTTGAAGATCCATGATATCCAACGGGATTAATTGATGTAACCCTTGGCAGTGTATTATCAGTTAGGCGTTTTGAGTATTCTTGAAAATTTTTCTTACTATTAACGCGATCTTGAAGCAACAAATATATCGCTGCAACGTGATCATAGCTGTTCTTTTTTAAACTTGTTTTAGTCTTATCTGGGGGAATACCAGCAAATTCTGACATGATCCTTAGTATGTCCTCATTTGGTTCTATGCTGGACGTTCCGTCCATATTTGCATTGGATTGTATCATGCCGCCAACATCTCGGGCCTCTCCACAAACCCAGCGATGATTTTTTATTTGTTCGATTGTGTATCGCCGAGGGGGATCTAGAACTAGCATTCTGCGAATCAAATGTTCACACTCTGAAATATTTAGCCTCTTAATACATGTCAACAAACTGAATTATAATATACGAATACCCGAAGACATAAAAAA